CTTCTTGTTTCCTTTCTTGTCCCAGTTGCCACTGCTGTAGTCTCTCTTCTTGTTTATGTTCTTTCTCCTCCAACAGCTGCTGTAATTTATCTTCTTGTTTCTTTTCTTTTTCCTCCAACCACTGCTGTAATCTCTATTCTTGTTTATTTTCTCGTTCGAGCTGCCACTGTTGCAGGTTTTCTTGCAACTGCTGTTGTCTCTCTTCTTGTTTCTTTTCTTTTTCCTCCAACCACTGCTGTAATTTCTCTTCTCGTTCTTCTTGTTTCTTTTCTTTTTCTTCCAAGAACTGCTGTAATTTTTCGTCTTGTTTCTCTTCTCGTTCTTTTTGTTTCTTTTGCAGTTCTTGTATTGCTGCCATCAAATCTGCCAAGCTGTAGTTTGATTTGCCACTTCTCGTTTCCATTTTTTTTCATCCCACTTCTGACACCAATTGGTTACGTCTCTGTATGTTTGTTTGTTAATATTTCTACGATACAAGTCCTTTCTTAAATAAAACTTGTTTATTCTTCCTCAATACAACTTTGCAGTACACTTAATTTTCACAATTACTTTGACTAAAACACACACTATACTTCACAACAATTCACTCACTTTCTACCGCGCTTGACTCAATTGTCCCTCTCTATCTCCGCCTGTCAGCAACTATAGTTCCGATCTCTGTATCTGCTATCCTCGGTTCCCGCCGACCGTAACTGCTGTCCTTGGTTCCCCACTCTCTCTCTCTCTTTGTCTAGCGCACTTATATACTATAATACCGCCCGCGTAGCCTTTTCTAGAACCTTCTAGGCACTCTCCACGTGCTACCAGCGTCACTTGACTTCCGCTGTCGTAACACACTAGCGTTTTTCGCGAATCTTCTAGATACTCATTACGTGTTACCAACGCCACGTGACCCCCGTTGTCGTAACAGCTCCTTTAGTTTATTTGTTCCATAGCTGTGTCAGCCATTTCTAGCCTACAATCCTACCTCTTGCATCTATTGTAGAGTTGAGCAAAACTAGAAACAATATATGAGCAATTTCTATTGAAACTTTCTACCAGTCCACAACCGAATATACACCCCATTCCACTTGTCTAGAGTACAGTTAGGACCCAGTCTGCTCTTGTTGTTTCACATCAGTGCAGCAGATAGGTACATTTATTGTGCACTTTTATGTACAACTGTGATTTGTAAACTTGTACAGCTTTAGATATCAAACATTTTATGATACATTGTCAATTGTTAGCGCCCCTGACGGCCTATACCTGCCGCCTGGTGTCCGACACAAACAGCTATTTTATCAGTTGAAGGTTTTTCGAATGCAGTTTAATTAACAATTAATTAAAGCTCAATATGACTAAAAAATTTTGCATAAATGCGATTTGCTTTGATTTGTTTGTGTTTAAGCACAAAGCAACACAATGAACTATCTGTGCTGTGGTTACCACGGGTATTGAAACCTGGTTTCTAACGTTGTAAGATATAGTGCTGTGCCACTGGAGGGTGCATGAACAATCAGTGAGGCAACAGTTAGTCATTTCATTAATTAGCAAGCAAAAGAAACAAAAGTGAGCAAAAAATCGATGCATAATATTGTCACTTTCATTTACATTTTGGCCTTTTAGTTTTCTAGGTTACAGTTTTAGGTACTTGTAAAGAAATGTAAAACTACAGTGAATTATAATGATATGCAACAGTTTCTGTATTGAACATTTTTCCAAATGAAGGTTTATCCTTTCCATATTTTATTTCATGCTATAAAACGCATCTTCATTACCAAAAACTAAAACCAACAAATACAGGTAAATGCATCCTAAGATGTGATAATTATTATTAAATTAATCATTCGAAAACACAGCAGGACTTTCATATTTCAGATCATTTGTTTAAGACTTGTATTCACTATCACACCATGTTTAGGCTAGTACACTAATGCATAACAATATGTATATATGGTAACTTTAATGTATATACATTAATTCGTGATATTAAGAAAGTAAATAAAGTCACAAATATATTATTCAGTACCTTAAAAATATGCTTACCTTTACAATTTGAATTTTTGAAAATGTATGTATGTAACTTTTGTTTTTGTTTTCCCCTTGAAAGTTGAATATTGCGTATGCAGCATTACATGCTTTGTCAAATGATATAAAAAGTGTTTTTGTTTATTTGATGGAGACACATATATCATAACTTAACTAAGCTTCAATCACCATCTCAGAATGGGTCGTTAGTGGATAGTAAGGAACAGTTTCGCTAAAATCATTGTACACTCATCATTTACTTTCATTCAGAACTTCCTATCAACATATACCGTTTATTCCATTACATGCTCAAAAATTTTATTCTTAGACAGAACTTCGGTATCTATTTACCTTAAACAACGGGCAGTAAGCTCCAGTTGTTTTCAACTGAAGAGTGAAACTGGATTTAATATGTTACTGACTAGCTCAGTCCAACAGAAGGAGGGGGATTTTAAGCCTTATAGGCGTTATGATAATGCAGATAGAAACAATCAATACTAAGACATTAGGTTTTTAGAAGTGCTTTTTATTTGTTTTATGGTAATGATGTACATAAAAAGCAAACACGTTAGTCACTCTTCATTTTCAAGCTATGAAGATTATTAAATCTACGATAAACGTATAAGATGAATTCATTTGTGATCCATACATTGGTTACAACTTACAGGCCAATCTTAACAATAACAGGTAAAAGTGCATGGACTGAAGAAGTAGGACAGGTAAGTATTCAAACAGGGTAGTAGCTCTAGAGTTGCAACTATATAATATATATATATATATATATTATAATACTGGTGCGATAAGTAAGGTTGTGTTTTTCGTAATTGAAGTTACATAACTTTTATTCAGTCTGTTTTAGAGCCTTTAGTAATTATTCATATATTTTACCAAAAAAAAACGGTCTTTAAACATAAATTTGGTTTTAAATGGGCATATCTTAGTAACTGAATATAAACTATTAAATTAAATGTCTCATGTTTTTTAGGGTGATTACATTTGGATTGAGCCCCAATCTAAAAGAGAATTTGATGTTGCCATTGGTGCTAAAGTTACCTCTACAGATGGGAAGCGATTTCAGGTGATTGATGATGATGGAAAGGTAAGCTGCAACTTCAGAAATTTATTACTCAAATAAAAGGTCTCAACCTCTCTAATCAAATATATGATAAGAAGTCTCATGCTTTTTGTTTGAGGCTAAAACCCCATAAAGTCTGACTTCCACTCACTTCTACCATTACTGCCAAGTTCTGAAAACACTGGTCGACAAAATCGAACGTTTTTCTCTCACCAAAGATGTAAACACACTTTTGCACACTCATTCCAAATCTGTTTTCGGTTTTCTTCTAGCACATCTAGTTATTGAAATAAGACTGGTGTTAATTTCATCACAATTTAGGTAATAATCACACTTTAGGCTAATTAATGTTACAACTTTATTAATTTTTCGGTATAATTTCCATAAACGTTATACACACCATTTACTTGGTTAAATTTATATAGTACACACTTATGAAAATAGAAATGTACAACTTAAATTATAATTAAGGCAATGACCTTTCAAATATGATAGGTCTCATCACGAAAACTTGACATGCTAGAGGAAAACGAAAAACATATTTGGAATCAGCGTCCCAAGGGCTATCTAGACCACCTATAATATATATATCTGATGAAAATGACTTGTTGGCCAGTGTAATAAGTATAATGTTTAGCCACAGTATAGCACCTCATAGAATGGCTCCGAGTTTCTTTTCAAGTACAAACTTTTAGCTCATAGCTATAATATATCATAGATCTAATTACAGTTTTGGACACGGAAGGTCGAACCCTTTCGATTGATGTATTTGATCACGCACAAGGTCTCATAGATTAATTTACTCTAATCCTGCCTAAAAGAATTTCAATTCGAGGGTAGGCTGGTAGAGATCCTGATGAGTAATAAAATCGAATCGGGTTACACTCGCCCTGGCTTGGCATTACTCTCGCACAAAATTATAGATAATAAAAAGGAAAAAAAAAGTGTCATAGATTAATTTACTCTAATCCTGTCTAAAAGAATTTCAAGTGCCAGGGTTTTGAGAATTCCCTTTTGTTTACTATACTGGTTTAAAGATTTTATTCATTCTGTCACTGTTGATCTACTGTGCTTCAGCAACTATTGAGGTTCTTTTTATTTTCCATATATATACACTAATATTTTCTTTGTATGATGGGTTTTTACTTACATATATGCCCCCCAGTGGACTTACAACGCTAGAATCCGGGTTTCGACACCAGTGGTGGGCAGAGCACAGATAGCCCATTGTGTAGCTTTGTGCTTAATTACAAACAAACATACATATATATATATATATTGAATAATGGGCAGGCGCCAAAGGATTGGAAATTAGCTAATGTCACTCTTCTTTTCAAAGGAAGGAGGTAATATAAATGGTCCCAGTAATTATAGGCCTATTATCATGCATCAGTTTTGGGAAAT